CTTATTATAGACAAGGGCTTGGATCTGTTTGCGCTCTCGGAGACTTGGCTCCAACAGGACGACTACGTTAGATTGAATGAGTGCACTCCTCCGACGCATGTTAACTACCAGAAAGCCAGAGCTACAGGTCGCGGCGGTGGTGTTGCGATTATATCACACACCAACTTGGTTCTTAGTCCCAAAACCAACAACGCTTTTCACTCGTTTGAAAACTTAACACTTTCAATCACCTGTCCTGGGTGGAGAAAACAAAAAGCAGTACTATTTATAGTTTTATACCGACCTCCTGGTCCTTACAGCGAGTTCCTAACAGAATTCTCTGACTTCATTTCAAACCTAGTTTTGGAATGGGAAAACATAGTTATAGCTGGAGACTTCAATATACATGTGGACGACAGCACTGACAGCTTAAACAAAGCTTTCAGCGCCGTACTAGATGGTGTTGGTTTTACTCAGAATGTCGAGGAACCTACTCACATTCATAACCACACCTTGGACCTTGTCCTGACCTACGGCTGTGATGTCTCCAATGTTGACATCCAGCGTCAAAGCTCGTTGCTGTCTGACCATTTCTTGATCACGTTTGATCTCGCTTTGGAGGACTTTCCTGTCCCGCAAGATAAAACCATAATGAAAAGAACCTTAAATGATAAATCTATCACAAGGTTCAAAGAACTAATACAGCCTATGTTGAATACTGCTGCAGGTGAACCTGTTCACAGCAGCTGCAGTCCCTCAGTCATTGACCAAACGGTGGGCAACACTATGGAGTCTTTAAAATCTGCATTAAATGCAGCAGCTCCTTTAAAACAGAAAACCATTAGGATTAGATCATCGTCGCCCTGGTACAGTGTTCAACTCCACACTTTAAAACAGGACGTCAGAAAATTGGAGAGGCTATATCGCCACTCCCACTCGGAGCCTGTCCACAGGGAGTGGAAAGCAGGTCTCCGAAACTACAAGAAGGCCCTTCGCGGGGCTCGAACTCAATACTATTCAACTTTAATAGAAGCGAATAAAAACAACAGTAGATTTTTGTTTGGTACCGTCGCTAAACTCACAAACTGCCATAGCGCAAACGAGCCTAAAATTCCAAGCTCACTGAGCAGTGTCGACTTTCTCCACTTCTTTAATAATAAAATTACATCCATCCGTGACAAGCTGGAGGAGGTTGCTCCTGCTGTTAGTGGTGGACAGGTTGAAGCGGCATACGTGACTTCCCACTTAGACTCTTCAGTGGGCCTTAATAAATTCATGGCTGTGAGCCAAGCAGAGGTGATCTCTGTGGTCACATCCTCAAAAGCCTCAACTTGCATGTTAGACGCAGTCCCGACATGGCTCTTCAAAGACATACTTCCTTTGATAATTGAGCCTATCGTAAATATAATAAACGCATCCATACAATGTGGCTATGTCCCACAAGCTTTTAAAACCGCGGTAATCAAACCCCTTCTGAAGAAAACAAACCTGGACCCAGAAATACTTACAAACTACAGACCGATCTCGAACCTCACTTTTATATCTAAAATCCTGGAAAAACTTATAGCTGAGCAGCTCCGCTGCCACCTGCAGGAAAATGATATGTTTGAAGTCTTTCAATCTGGATTCAGAGCTCATCATAGCACTGAAACGGCACTAGTCAAAGTCACAAATGACTTACTACTAGCTGCCGATAATGGACAAGTGTCAGTGCTGGTCCTACTGGACCTTAGTGCTGCATTTGACACAATAGACCACAGCATTCTACTGCAGAGGCTAGAATGTGATATAGGTCTTAGAGGAACAGCCCTTGGCTGGTTTAAATCCTATTTATCAGATCGATATCACTTCGTCAATGTGAATCAGGACTCGTCGCCTTATTCTGGAGTGGAATTCGGTGTGCCGCAGGGTTCGGTACTCGGACCGATTCTTTTTACTCTCTACATGCTGCCACTGGGAAACATTATTAAAAAGCATGGAATTAATTTCCACTGCTATGCAGATGACACACAGCTTTATCTGTCGATGAAGCCTAATCAGACAGATCAGCTAGAAAAGCTCAGTGCCTGCATAAAGGACCTTAAAATGTGGATGACTCTTAACTTCCTACTTCTCAACCCGGAGAAGACAGAAGTGATCCTACTCGGTCCGAAGCGCCTGCGTGACTCCCTCACTAACCAGATGGTTACTCTCGATAATGTCAGTATAATACCCAGTAACACTGTGAGGAATCTTGGAGTCATTTTTGACCAAGAACTCTCCTTCAAGGCTTATATAAGCCAAGCAACTAAAACGGCGTACTTCCACTTACGGAACATCGCTAAAATTAGGAATTTCCTTCCTAAAAGTGACGCGGAAAAACTCATTCACGCGTTTGTCACCTCAAGGCTCGACTACTGTAACGCTTTACTGGCAGCGTGCCCTAAAGCCTCTTTGAAGAGCTTCCAGCTCGTTCAGAATACAGCAGCTAGGATCTTAACAGGTACCAAAAGGAGGGAGCACATAACTCCGGTGTTAAAATCACTCCACTGGCTCCCTGTGGAGTACAGAATAAAGTTTAAAATCCTACTCTTAACATATAAAGCCATAAATGGCTTGGCTCCTTCTTATCTCCAAGACACGTTAGTGTCGTATCAACCAAGTCGAGCGTTGCGCTCACAAAACGCCAGACGTCTGGTGGTCCCTAAGGTCTCAAAGGTCACTGTTGGTGGCAGAGCATTTAGCTACCAAGCTCCTTTACTGTGGAATCAGCTTCCCATTTATGTTAAGGAAGCAGATACGGTCTCCACATTCAAGGCCAGGCTTAAAGCACTTTACTTTAATTTAGCATATAATTAGGTAATATATAATATGTAGTGTATATATTATATATATATGCTGTATTATGTTATATATTATGTTATATATTATTCAATAATGTATTGTGTTATGTTGTATATTATGTTATATATTATGCTGTATGTTATTCTTTATTCAAGGCTAGGTTTAAAACAGTCCTCTTTAGTTTAGCATATGGCTAGGAAGGTAAGACTCGGAGAAGGTTAAACTCCTCAGAGTGTTAGTCAAGCTGCATAGGGAGTCAGTTTGCTGGGAGAAGTATGGTAACTTGAGCACTATCCTCTCCTCCTTCCTACTTTATCTGTTTAGCATTTTTAGGATTCTGACTGTAGTTTGTTCATTGCTATTCACCCGTTGTCCCATTGTCTGTTTCATGGTACGATGACGGGATCTCTGAGCCTGGCCTCTTCCATCTACACCTGCGGACTGCCCCGCCCGACCCGCCTGGGAGTGCTTCAGTCCTACACCGGACCTGTCCACGTTCAGCGTCCACTGGTCCACGTTCTGTAGCTAGCTTAGGTCCTGGATCATTAGTCTGTCCGTCCGGAGGAGCGGATCCCTTTCTCATATGGGTCTCCCTCCCTGTGGGTTTCCCTAGTTCTCCTCCAAGGTTTCTCACTTTTTCCCACTGGGTTTTTTAAGAGTTTTTCCTTGTCGATGCAGGAGGGTCTTGTTGGACAGTTAGTGTCCAACAGAAAGGATTGGTGATGATCAGGACACTTTAGCATTCTACAACATGTATGGACATTTTCTTCTGTGTGTGCTTTATACTGTATTCTTCATGTGTTTTAACTGTTGATTCTCTGACCTGTGTTGGTGATTTCAATGGTTTTGTTAAGTCCTCTGAGATGACTTCTGTTGTGACCTAGGGCTATACAAGAATAAATTGTATTGTATTGTATTGTATCTGTGCTCTTTTTTTTCGTTTTTTTTGCTAAAGATAAATGCACATTTTTGGATTATGTCTGCAGAATGGATTTTACTTTGGGAAATACAAGTGGATATAATTTTCCTTTGGACTGTTCCAGAGAGAATGATGTATTGCAAGCTGGGAGGAGAGCTGATTTATTTGTACAGCACAAGCCCAAAGGTAAAAAACTATTTTGGAATTGATTTATTTTGTGCCCACATTATGTGTTATATCTTTTGAATGCAAAGTCTGATGTAGTTTACACTTGTATATAAATGTAGATAAGAAAATAAGCTTTAAAATGATATACAGCTTTTGGGGTTTGGTGTTCAAAATACATCTGCTATTGCCAGCAGAACATTTAAAAACATAAAAACGGCCGCCGGCGCGCCGGTTGCAGTAAAGAGGTTAGACTAAGGGGACAGAGCTGTGTATTTCCTTTAAAAAAAATAAAAAATAGCCTTTATATTAGTTTTGGGAATAATAGATAAAAAGTAGACTGTTGTTGATGAAAGGATAACTTTGTAAAGGGCGTGTCTATTGTGGTGTAAATCCCTGTCCAGAGACAAATTTATCTTAAGGGGGACAATAAAGGTTTAGGGTTATCTTATCTTATCTCTTAGACAAAAATAAATGGAATTGAATTAAACATCTTCAGTCAAATGACGTTCTCTGCAAAAACTATATAGTGCCATGTTGGATTTAGATCTGAATGCAGCCACTTCAGTGAATGATTCCACTTCATTCACTTGTGTGTTGTCTATAACGCTCAAAAATGAAATTCATCGCAGTGAGCATTCGACTCCATTGGCTGCTCTAATGTTCTATCTATTCCATCCATGGACTATTTAAAAAGTATCATTGGCTTGAATCAGAAAGTCGCTGCTCCAGTCCTACTTCAGAACGTGTTGAATACATGACACTATCTTTTGCCTGCACAGTATTAGTCCCCTGGGGCGTCATGCTGTAACGAATACGAGGCATTTGAAGGGCTGTTGTTAGGCATTCAAAAAAACCAAACCACTGCAAGTCAGAGATGAAAACAGTCGGGATTGTTTTGAAGGTTGTTAGGCAAAAAACGTCACAGCATCAACAAGACGACAACACACAGAGAGGACAAAGTAAAAAAAACACAGCAAACCAAAAACAGGACAGTGTGAAGAAGACGTGAGATTACGTGAGCTTTGAAAAGTGAGGAGGGAGATGTTAAGACAAGGAGCTCAAGCCAAACGTGGGAGAGAATAGAAGGAAAAACAACAGATTTATTAGATACCTGATGTAAAAATCAAAATACAAACTTCTTTTCCTTGAATGCAAATCAGAGGGAAAGGGGGAAGAAGGAATGCAAAAGTGTTAAATGGTGCTGCACTGACGACTGAGATGTGTTTAAAAATGAATTGAAAAGTCTTATCTGCCTAATATAGAGAAAAACTGTCAAAGCGAGGCCTGGAGAAAGTAGAAAACGTTAACTAACTGATAATGAAATAATATAGAGAAAAACGGCACTAGTTTTGGCTTATCTAAAGTGGTGGTACCCTACTTTAACTAGGGTTTAACTAGTTCCTTACTCCCAAAACAGTTTGGTTATGACACTAGTTTTCACATGCAGGAATTAGGCTCTGTCAGCTTTTTCAGACAGAAAAGTGAAAAAGAGAAGGCCAATCTCACTCAGCCAATCAGCTTCCCCAGCTTTATTGGTGTGAAAAATAAATAATCTCCAAAGTATAACAGTAATTGCAGTGTCTGTTTTGCACTCTGAGCTGTGAGAGCCAATGCAAACACATTTCTAGATCTGTAACTGGACTGTATTATGGAAGCGCTCTGATACTTGTATGACAGCCAATCTAGATGTGTGATATATGGCATTAATGTGAGTTTCTATTTGTGGATCTCCTCTTTCCTCTCGCAGTGGGAAGATAGCGGCGATGCTTATGAGTGCGGATGATTGGATTCCGATAGTCAAAACTAATGGATATTAATTGTAAATAGGTTTGTGTTTTGGTGGCGTTATTACCATGCATATAACTAGTGGCCACCAATCTTAGTGAAGCAACTTGTTCCTATCAACAAATGCATGCCATTTACGGGTAACTTAATCCTGATTTAACATTGCACATTTTAACTAAACATCCACTGTATTACTATAAGATGAACTGGTTACAAGTGCTGTAATAAAAAGCTAATCCTTTGGCCACTATAATGCACTATAAGGCTTCACACATAACTAGGATCGCATTTGTCCAATTTTGACATTAAACATTTAAGCCATAAATAATCAATAAATTAAATGCAGACGTGCTAATACATACATGCACAGACACGTATAGAGTGTGGTGGTGTGGTCAGGGATTGTACCTCTTTTGTTTATAGGTGAGCATGGCCTCGGAGATAGGGAACTGGTGCGACACGTTGGCTCCAGCTAAATACTGCACCACGCGACCGGCTACGTCAATGTTATCTGCAGCAAGACACAGGAAAAGTGGTTAAGCCAATTATACATGGACACAGAATGGTATCTCCTAATCTAATCCAATGACAATGGCTAAAAAGAAATAGATAATACGTATAATGTGTTTTATGCTTCACTGTGGGTGGAGATAAAAGAAGGTCATAGTTCTTGGTCCTGATTTGCCATTTCTTGTCTGACATTTGAAACATTTTATCTTGTCTTGTCGGGCTAAACAATTTTGAAAAAAATGAATTCGGAAATGTGCTGAGAATCAACCATAGAGCGGTTGATTTAGTATATTTTGGGTCAAATTTTCTCATAGTAACTTATAGCAACTAAAGGACCAATCAGATAAGCTGCTAGTCTGCTCCTGCTTGTGCGATTTGCTATCTGAAGCTGAATTTCTGGGTTAAAAGGCAGTTATTATTGCTCAAATATTGATTTACGAAGTCAACATGTAAACAAAACAACAGAGAGTTGATTAGAGAGTTGTATAATCCCAAAATGTTGATGCACCAATTCACAGAGTAAGCAGGGTTTGTTTTTTAGTGAAACTGAATGGAAGCCAGAGACAGTCGGACCAACATTTGGCTCATGAGCACTATTATGCCTAGCGTACATCGACAGAGAAACTGGGGACAACTAGTTGCAAGGCGGCTTTTGGCAACTGAGAGGAGATGGTGGGAGATGATCAGTTGCCGAAATCGGTCGATGTGCGCGCTCTTACAACTGGAGATGATCAGTCGGTCTCCAGTTCCAGTCAGTTGCCCGTGTTCTACTTTTCGGCAACTAGTTGTCCTCAGTTGCTCCGATGTGCGCGCTCCATGCGCCGCTCCGACAACGTGTGTGTATTGCGTGTATTGCGAGCCCGCAACAGTTTGTTGTCAGAAAACACACTGTAGTTGAGGCCAGTTGCTGTCGATGTACGCGCTGTTATTCAAGAGACTGGCCTGCGACTCAGAGTTGCCCGTTTTCGCCAGATTGTCGATGTGTGCGGGGCAGCAACTCAGAGGCGACGGATATAATCAGTTGCCAGTCCGATGTACGCTAGGCTTTAGGCCTCAGCCAGCTTAGCAGTGTCTATCCCGTCCATTCCATCCAAGTATTCTGTCTGTGGAACACTTCGAATAATGATTAAAATACACACGCATTCAAATCTAAGTTGTGGAGTTTCTAATCCGCAGTGAAAATGTTTTTTTGTGAGGCCATGAACTACAAATGCAGCTTTTGCAGTTTGAAAATGACAACAATGAGATTTATAGTGCAGCCTTCCTGTTGATGAAGGGTTTGTCTTGTGCTTCATGCTGTAGTTTGTATGAGTGAGCACAACTTCGGAAAGTGAAATCAACTGGTAACATGAACCCATTAGACTGTTGACGATTGGTCAACACACTTCACCCATCTTACCCATGAGCACATTTGGTTAAGTTGAGAATCGATTCCCTGAAAGTCCGAGCTGCTGTTGCTTTACAGACTGCAATTTTCACACAGTCAGAATTCTGCAGCGGTAGAAAGATGCATTAATCATTTATATCGAGGCTGAGGCTTGTTAAAAATGGCATCAAACCTGAGTGCATGCAGCCGTTAAGGGGATAAATTAGATGTCACATGAATGACGTGTGTGGTGCATACAGAGCACCGTGCATTCTGGGTAATCTGACATGAGGTAATTGGTTGACAGTAAAGGATGAATGATTTTTTTTCATCAGATTCCCTGAGCTAATACAGCTATTTATAGTATTTCTAATACCTGCTTTACAATGTGTTGCGTGCTTTTCAAAGAGCCTGGTGGTCTAATGAGCTTCCATAACAAGGCAGTAGTTACAAATGAGAGCAATAGGGGGAGATAAAGTTAAAATGGCAGTACCCATGTAGTTCTAATGTATAGTACAGTAAAATCAGCCACACAGGACTGAGCCTTTTACATTGACATTACAATAAAAAGGTAAATTTGAGTATCGCCTGATTTAAGATGGTCAAGTCATGTTTCTGATAGTTGTAATTTACATAACTTGTGGATAAATATTTAAACATGTTTTAAGGGATGGAAGTAGTGCTACAATTATTCTTTTTATCTATAATTATCTAATGAATAGTATTCTTTCTGTAATCGACCATTTTATCGTTTCAAGCAAAAGATTTACACAATTCCCAATCTCTTTGTACAATGACTAGCCTGTTTGTGAGTTTGATCATCTCTCAACATATACATGTGTTGAAGTTTGTAAAAAGAGCTGTTAACAATGAATCAATTACTCAACTTTTTGATTATTGAAAATAGGCGATTAAGCCATACATTGAAATTGATATAACAGCAATATTAGTTGTGCCATTATACTGACTATAAAGGAGGATAATCCCAGAGACATATTGTAATTTCAATAGCTACACAATAGTACATATGTGTACAGATGTATACACGCAACTTTATATAATTTGCACTAGAATATACAGCATTTTATACTTGCTCCTTACTATGCTACAGTCAGGGGTTTTTGTATCTAAGTCTTGCTAAAGTTAGAGATTTTAAGACTTCTTTCCTTAGTATTTCCTTATTATTATATCATACTGCTTCTTTTTATGCTAGAGTTAGAGAGTTATAATTCATTTATCTTGAAATTGTTCCACTGTAGGATGAATAAAGGATCTCTTAATCTTAATCTACATGTTTGTTATTGTGTTATTTTAAGCGAACAGCAAAAATCTTCTCACAATACAGCAAAGAAAAAACACAGACAATAAATAATGAGCTCCAAACAATGCTGTACCTTTCATCAGTTATAAACTATCATGTAATGTATATATATTTTTTGCAGCAGGATGATTCAGTGTCCTGGGACTCCCTGGCTGGTTTCCCTTCCACAGACAGGGCCTGGGCCGCACCTCTGTTATCTGGGCCGCCCTGACAGATGCGCTGTTCAGTGGCCCACGTCGCAGTCCGCTCCGTGTCTCCTGCAGAACCAGATAATGTCCTCTTTCCATCTATTAGCTCCTGACCCGTGTGCGCACCCCATTTGTTCCCGTTCAATTGGCCCGACATTCGAGCAAGCCTCACAGAGTAGAACAGAGCCGCAGCCGAGGAGAGACGTCTTGTTCATGTGGTAATTAGAGGGATTTTTACACCGAGGATGACAGAAAAAGCTGCACATGTATATGTTTTGTATAAAGGCCTCAAAGTGTTTAAAATGCGTAATCGCTCAGTGGTAACAAGCAAGTGGGAAAGCTATAGTGTAAATAGAGCAATCACTTTTATTCTTGTTTGTTTCTGTATTATGCAAAAGAGCACCACCTACATTATGGTTGAATGGACAAACACAAGCTAAGGAGAGGTTAGAAAATCCTAAATCCTATTGCGAGAACAAAACTGAGGCTGAGTTTACACGGAGACAATGTGGCAGTAAAACGGTATAGTTGGATGTCGGTTGCTACCAACCGTTCATACGAAGACTGTGTTCCAGGGGGGTGAAAACGTAAGTGTTCAGATCCAGCCTGCAGAGTGGGACAACTCAGAAACGCTGCACAGCAGGGAGCTTTTTCACACCCGCGAGAGGGGAAAGGTGTGAAATCCCCGTCTGCTCTGACCCCCACCTCCGCGCTGCTCCCCGCACGTAAATTTGGACATGCGCAGTAGCGGAGAACAAACATCAACAATAATGGCGCCGCCCACACAAACTAGCTACGTGGGCTTCCAGCGCGGGACAGAGGATAACTCTACTCCTTCGTTTGTCCAAACGAGACCACGCGAAGCTCTAGGTTCAGTTCCCATGTTCACAGCTGCTGTTAAAATGCAGAATGATGTTGGTACATTCTGAGGGTCTGGCACAGGAAGTGAATATACTGCCGGGAGGGGGGCTGGGGGTCGTGTGTCGTGTTGTAAAGTTTCTCTGCCCACTACTGGCCGGGCGCTAGAACTACATCGTTTTTCAACCTCATGTGAACGCTGAGAAATTTGCATTAGGAGCCAGGTCGTTTCTGTTAATAGCCTGGAAACGTCTGCGCAGCGTCTCAGTATAAACAGGGCCTAACTGTACAAAACAAGCAATGCTGTTTGAAGAATATAAAATCCACTGATATAAATGCAAAGATAAGATAAGATAAACTTTATTGATCTCACAATGGAGAAATGTAAAGCCTTTTTAGATAGGTCTGATACAGAACTTGTATTCTTTTTCTTTAGTGAGCCTATTCCTCTAACCCTCTCCAGCATTTTTATTTCAGTTTTGCAGTTACCTGAAGTGGGCCGATCCGTCCGGCAGAACAGCTCCCTCCAGGCCGTGTCCATAAACAGATTGTTGAACTTGCTGTCGAATGAAGCCACGTGTTTGGCTAAAGGATGTGAACCTAAAAACACACATAACGCAGTTAATACACGCCCTCAAAAGAAATTCAGAGATGAGAATTAAACAGTACAAATGTCTTAAGTTGTTGGTATAAAATGCAATAAAAAACCCTAAGTCCAGGTCCTTTAAGACTTTTTCTATTACAAATACTCTGGACAAATTAGGGACAACATTGACCACTTTTAAAGGTGTTGAATTAAGTAAATTTACTTATACTTCTTTATATGTGAAGTTGATTTCATTTGCAAAATAAAGTGTGTAGAAACCCCCATATAGTAAACAGTGACAGGTGGTTCTAAAAATAGCTTTAAAATAGGATACATGAGGAATGAAATCCAGGCAAACCATAAATAGATAGAACATAATATTATTAAAAAATGTTCTTATTTTTCCAGCAAAGCACTGAAAATGTAAAAAACTGAGTAGTAGTTATGAGAAAAGGTTATAAGCAGTAAAAAGCACTCCAAACCTTCTTTCTTTAGCAATATATTCATTATGATTTAGCAGAATCTAACAGAACATTGCCTAAGGTGGGACACACTTCGGCCCGCTTGCCTCTGCTGGTTTGCTGTCTCACATTAATCTCTGTTGACGTACCGATGGGGATGACCAGGAAGCGGATATAACTGAGCCAGTCGGGTGTTTTATTGGCCAGCTGCTCCACAAAGAACCTCAGTATCGTGCTGAGGTAACTCTGGTCTCCGGCCGCTGCCACTTTCATCGTTGGAGGAGTCTGTGCGTTACAATTGCAGCTAAAGATCCAAAAAAACAAGGACACAAATATATTAGAGGAATCTAGAAGTGCATGTTAAATAATACTGTAAACGTATTCCAATAAAAGAACAATTCAAACTACATTTCCAGAGGACCAGATTAGTTTGGAAGTAGACAAGCTTCACACAGCTCTATATCTACTTTAGATTGAGTTTATTTGGCATTTCCAGTAAAGCCACATTGGAATACATGGTACTTTAAAGGTGCATTCCTCAACTGTCCTTGTGGTGGACTCGCCTTTTGCTTGGGTTCATCTAAATGTTGTTCATTTTCCTGGATACAGTTTGTCATTAAACTTTCCTTTTATACAATGGGAAAAAAGCCTGTGACATCACTCTGATAAGTTATAAGATGTGTCCATATGTAGAGAAAAGTATCCATGAGTGAGGAATATACATGTTTTAAATCAAACTGAGCAAGCAATAACATACAGTATCAATCACAAGAAGCAGGTATCGGACCATTGCACAAAAAGTGGGACAAATCCAGGACAGTTGAAGAATGTATGTTATAAAAATCAACAGTAATATAATATACAAAAATTAAAAAGATTAAAAGATTATAAACAAAATGATGATAAATAATCCAAGTTCTGGTCATTGCATATATGGCTCGTTATTGACATAACCCTGAAGTATTTTTAACATGGAGGTTTTATCTCTTCGTCTGTATCAAAAAGATCAGAACACTTTTTGCGTACTTTGGCGTAGTTCGCTCAGTTGGAGGCGAGCATACCAGAGAAGTCAGACATTGTGGATAAGGGGAATGTGTGCAAAAATATTTAGAAATGGCAAAATTATACAAGCACATTCATTTGACAGCTAATCTTCTTGCCTTGAAAACCCTGGTAGCATTAGACAGCTGCTGGGAAAGAGGCAGGTGTGTGGAAGATAGAAACATATGAGCATTTCTGACAGTTTTAGCTCAAATGCGTCATCTAAAAGAGTTTTGACGCTGCCCTGTCTTGCACTGACATAACGTCCTGAGGTGAAGGCGATGGATCCTACAGAGAAGGAGAGTTTCTGCTTTTCAGGCATATTTGGGTTGAGTTGTTTTGCACGGAAGAGTGAAAGCTCCAGTGAATGCGTCTGGCAGCCAGTGGTGATATCTTACCGCAAGAAGAGTAAGAAATGATCAAGAGAAACTTGAATGATATTAGAAAGCCTAGATGTTAATAGACTGTTGTTTTTGAACAATATAAACTAATTTTAAAGATAAAAACATTAGTAAATAATAAATACTAAGGTTGCAAATAAACAGATATTCATAATGCCTAAGGTTGATGATGGAGAGCAATCTAAATTATATCACAATATTTTATTTGTGGAAGTTTTTTTGGGATATATTTGTGTGCTTGCTTGATTACATTATGGAGGTATTTCAATTCAATTTATACTTGTATAGACCTCAATCACAACAGTAGTTATCTTGGAGGACTTTGCACAACCGTAGAAATCGCCAACACAGATCAGAGAATCAAATAGTTCAAACACAAAACATAGAATGGACAACGCATTTGTATTGGTCCATAAGGGGCAGATGACCAATGTCTGTCCATAAATGTTGTTGAGTGTCCTGGATCATCACCACTGTCCTTTTAGTTAGACCTCACAAGGGATCCGCTCCCTGATAACATGATTTTATTATAATGTTATATGTGAGTCAAAGTAATTTGCCTTGTAGATCAATAGTTTTTCAAAGTCTAATCAAAGTTGGGATCCAAGCTCTTGTCTATTGACAGCATAACATTAAGCACACTCTCTTCAAGACACACTGGATCAATATTTACGACTGAAATCCATTTTAATAGGACTTCCCCCACAGCGAGGAGACACCACAACGGGAATTGCTGAATGAGTGCACTGTAGAGGAGTGCGGAGTACATTCAAGCACAGGCATAATATTATTCTAAAACTAGTTATGGGTACTTTGGGCAGTGCAATAATATATTAGAGGCAATGCTGCACTCACAATCTCTGAATGCGGGTCACGATGGTGTTGAAGGCGGCCTGGACGTCTGCAGGAGAGCAGGTGGACACGATGGGCTGACCCTGTTCATGAAGCAGGTCCGCTACATACTGCACAGAGACAAGAGAGCAGCATGTGACAAAAACACTCTGTGGGGACAATACACATTATTGTGGATTCACATTATCCAAAATCCTCCATTTTGAGCTTTTAACATGTCACAACATGTCCATCACTATGGAGCATTTAAATATAAAAAGCATTTTCCCACTTCTACCAGTAGATAGGAGTGTTGCTAATTCTATTCTTTATGTTTATCAATAGATTTTATTCTTCTGAAAGCATGTCACATTTTAAAACATAGATTGCCAAAGTAAATATTCTTTCTATGAACCCAAAAAAATATGCAGTTTGCCTCATTTGAGTGAACTGCTTTGCATAGTCTTTCATATAATCAGTATAGTAGTCTCACACTTTATGGCTTGTGGGTTGTGTCCACTTTGCAAGAATACAAATAAGTTAAAGTTCAACGCAAAGGTCAGACAGCGTTTGACTTTTAGCCCTTAGTTATGTCAAATCATCACACGTTCGTACAATGATCTCAAAAAACTTGTTAGCCTTGTCTACCTCCTGTAGATGTTTGACACAACAAAGCTTTATACAAGTAAATAGCTTGTTACATATAGGTTTGGCATCAGTACCTGTCCCTGCCACTCCGTCGTGTTGATGAGGATGATGCACTCGGGTAACCGCTCGTCAGAAATGAGAATCTGGTTGAGCTGGTCGTACACCGATTTTCTGGGAACCTGTGGATGAACAGACACGGTTATTGGTAAACATAATGAGGCAAAGAGATTAATATTTAACTCTTGTTTTATGAAAAAGAAAGTGTTTATTATTGTTGGAACGCATCAATCTGTGGCATTATTATGCGTAACATGAAAGAGGTACTCAAGCAATGTCCAAATTATCAAGTCATACTTTTAACTAAAATAAGAAAGACATTCCATGAGTGTTTCATGTTCAATGTGGAATGAATGTAGTAACACTTTAGCAAACTTAAACTACATTTAGTCAAAGAATGATATAGACAACCTGTAGGAAAGATATCTCTACTGAATATTATTCAGTTATATTCAGTTGTACAGTATGCCAAGAATGAAAACAGCCCTTGCTAATTGCTAACGGTGGGTTGTATTGTGGAAAATCAATATAATTGGGATTATGATTTGATTGCAATTAATCTCTCGGGTCTCAGAAGAGTCGTGTAGTTGAGGATTTGTTGACCGTAATCATGAACTGAATGTGACTTAATTTGTAAGGACAGTTATGAAAAGATTTGACCTTGAATTACGATAGTAGAGAACAAAAAGTCTGAATGAATTTGTTAGACTGAACAGTAGAAAAACAGAGTTAATTTACCTCCTCCCTTCATTCCCTACATAGCAGAGATTGGATTTTGTTTATACAGTGAAATTTTGTTCTATACAATCACATGGCTCTCTGGTGGTAGTACAGAGAGATACAGGCGGAAAGCTTTTCATACCCTTGTTTCACCATATATTTTCTACATTTCCAATTCCTAAAACATGAAATAAGAAAGTAAAAAGTATTATTATAGATTTTAAAGGACCAAAATAATACATAATATTTCTTCTTTAACCCAAAAATGGAAAACTGCAGTCACTTCAAAGGCGTACCTGTGCTATGAGCCTGGAGTCCGGGGAGCACTCACTCTCCATGCTGCTGGTGCGGTCGTTTTGGGCCTTGGAGTTCTGCCTGTCCTTCATGGAGGTGCTGCGTGTTCGCCTTTGCAGCTTATTGTCCATTTTACTGACGACACAAGGGCAAAGAAAAACCTCATTAATGCACGATTCGAAAGCAAAGTGCAAAGGTGGATTCCCTTAAGACTGCGGGAGAGGCGTTCAATTTGCACCATTTATGATAATCCCGGCTTCAGTATGCACAACACAACATGCTTACACTGAGACCGGCTCCTCGATGATGATACAGGTCATTATCAGTGCTTTGAAGGCCACCATTGTAATAAGGACAATGCTCTGTACGCAACAAACTGACTTTGAGCAGTCATGCGTGGTCAAACAAACAAATCCCATGTTTTTGTGTCAAAATAAAATGTAAACAAATGATAGGGATGAAGATTTTCTATTATGGTCATCAAGAACAGTGCACATATTTAAATCTTGTTTACAGGCTGATAATGACTTTTTAAACAATATATTTAATTAGGCCTTTTTCACAATAGCAGTCATCTTGGAGGACTTTAACTGTAAACTTGTCAATAACAAATTTGAGAAAGAAAGCATTATAAAACAGGAAATGGGGGTGTTTACTGAGGCTAGATTCTCCTTTCAAGAAGAATGGATGCAAAAGAAAAACATATTGTAAGAATCTTTCATACACGGTTCTGAAATTGTTGATCTACTGTAGTGCAGTAGTACAACAGCATTTTGACAAACAAAGAAAAGAAACAATACAATGGTTTTTAACTGTCAATGGGATCTGAATCAGTATTATTAGAGTTAAGAGATATGATACTACTGTCTTGATAACATACTAATGCATGTAGATGTGAGCAGGCTGTACCTCGGAGACGACATGTGATTCTGGGACTCCGTTTTGCAGAGTTTCCCCACAGAGCTGGACACTCTCTCTATGTTGACGTCCCAGTTGCCAACCTCGCTCTGCACCGGCCCGTTGTCGTCAGCCTCTGCCTCCTGAAGTCAACAGAAGCGGAAAACATGAGCTGGGAATACTTCGGAGGCCTCTCATGAATAAAAAAACAAGCTACTATATTATACAAAATTTACCCATGTTACAACACCCTCATCAAAAACAGACCTTGTTCCTAGATCAATCCACTGACTGTTTGCAGCTGGTATTTTTCAAATTTGGAAACAGCAAAACTAATTCTATCCCTCCCTCTGGTGGGAGCATAGGGATTGAAACCCTAGATACTGTTTAAACTTTATAGATATAATTTCATGTTATTTCAAGTAAAAGATCTCATTGTGATTTTAACAGCCAATAATAATGCATAATATTTGTTCTTTAATATATTGTGTATGTAGCCAAAAAAAGTATGTAAAGGTATGTTTGGATGTTGAAATGTACGTTGACAGTTTGAGAGAGTGCTATCAATACTTTCCACAGCTCTACACTTTTTAATTTGAAAAGTCTTCTTATTGAACTAGAATACACTTCTTTATGGTTTGTTTCAAAATGTAAGATTAAGATGAAGAGATCCTTTATATGTCCCACAGTGGGGAAATTTCAGTGTTGCGTCACCAGTCATAGAACAGTAGGAATGAGGAGCAAAACGAAAACTTAGAATGAAAACTTAGGAACTATATCTAAATGTTTCTTCTCAACAAAAAGCTAAATCTCTGATCATGACGACTGGTTTGCAACTATGAAATACTTTTACTTTTTATTCATTGAGTCAAGGTTTAAAACGCTACTTTAGCTCTGGTGTACATTAACATACGCTGCAACACTAATATGAATAGACTGTTGATATGGGACATTTTGTTTCACCGTGGCGAGTGAACGGTGGTAAATAGGTTGCGTGGTGCAGAATTGCATGTTGTAGAATTTTGGTCCGTCAGCGGCGCATACAGAAGTGGGCAGTGACACCAACCCAGCATGTCTCCATGTTTACAGTCACTCTTATGTAAGCTTCCACAGTCAACAACGACTAACTCTCAGATAAACAAACCAAATGAGATCACCAAACTTTTGGCTTCCACAGTATTCCATTTCATATACTTAAAGCTGGAGTACCTCGCTGTTTAACCACAAAATATGCATCAATGTAATAAAATCAACTTCACTAGTTCCTAGGTGTTAATATCACTAGTTTTCACATGTATGTATGTTTTCCCCTCTGTCATATCTTTATGATACATTTCCAGCCAGAAGATGAAAAATCACCTGGCAAGGCAAGTTTGTTTGTATAGCTCATACACAAAGTAACTCAAAGTGCTTAATAAAATAATATTAAAATCACAGTGCATTTAAACAGAGTGAAGATACAATCCTTCAGTTGTGTGCACAGCTAAACCGAAATGTTTTCAAACTTGTCAGAATGGGCGCCTGTCTCACATTTTCAGGAAGACGTTCCAGATTTCAGCTGCATAAATATGAAATGCTGCCTCCTCATGTTTAGTGACTCATTTGAATAAGATAACATAGTAAAACTTCACTTTGGAGAGACCCAAGAGGGAAAATGCAGTTAGAAGTTTGTTGATTGAGCATGTTCCGGGAGAGATTCTGTTGAGCGCGGCGCTTGCTCGCACGCATGATCCCCCCCCGGGGCCTAGGCACTGGTGGCGGCAGAGGCAGTAGGCAACACGCTTCGATGAGAAACGGAGGAGGTGGGGCGGCAGAGGCTTGCGGACTTCAGAAGGCTGGGAAGTGGGTGTCTCCGGCTTTTAACTTGCTGTCCTGGTGGTTATTGGTTGATTAGATGTGGGCGTTGCTGGTATGATGAGTCGAGGATGAGCAGGCTTGTAGATCTGGGCAAGCAGCGGCCGGGTCTACCACAGTGAACTTTCGCGAAGAGCTTCATAAGTGTGATCTGATCTGATTTTTTTATTTTTCTACTACAACACTCCTGCTGTTGGGAGATGCAGAAACTGTATTATTTATGAAAACAATTTCTCCAGGTGGGAAATTGAAGATGGTTTGTAACAGTCTTAGTATAAAAATGTAATAATGCAACAAAAAAGATATTAATAAAAATAAATCATGTACTCTTTTAATTATTTAAAAAAATAATCATATATGTCTCTGCTTTTACTTCAGTTGTATTTTACTTTGCTGTGGTCTTTAAAAACATCGCAAATGAACAGGTTTGTGGTCGTAAAGTACTTTTGCAGCTGTATATCTTGTGTATGAGAAATGTACTCCGGCCCAAATCACTTCCAATCCTCACTAACGAGAGCCACAACAACCTCACACAATTCCCATCCACTTGAAAAGCTTAGGTGAAACAGAGGGACGCTGCACGGCCTGTTAAATAATTGAGTTTCGCGGCTGAGTTTGTTGCCAGATAATGATGCCAGCTCGGCGTGACGGATCGAGAGCAAAAAATCTCCTGATCTCGTCACAGGTGGGATCAGACGCGCGCTCGTTCCTGCGGCTTTTGGATCCGGGTTTAGTCTCGCTCTGCGCTGAGAGCCCTTATGCCACATAGAAGGGGGTCAGGCTGGTTTGATGTGCGAGGTTAGACCGACCTGGCAGGGCAACAACAAACAGCCAAACACAAACAATGCCCCTTCGATCCTCATCAGATGTGATTTATTCAGCACGAGGGCGCCCTGTCTGCTCCACTGATCTATAATGGATGACTATGCTGTATACAGAGCGTCTGCCCTTCTTCTCCTGTCTCCACTTCATTCTTGGAAAATAACTAGGACTGTGTGTTGGAGATGGCACTCAGGCAAATAGTAAATAGCGTGAGCAAAAGGAAATAGCCGAAGGGAACTTGTGAGGGAATACAGGTGTAGCTTAGGAGAGCGTACCGCAGCTGTGGTGTCGTTGTTGCTGTCGTCTTGATATCGGCTGCTCTGCACTTTACACCTGTCCACGGTCAGAAAGTCTCCAGTCTGCAAAAGCAAATAAACAACACAAAATTAGAAAATGTGTTTTTAAAGAGAAACACAGAGCAGACATTAATTATATATTATAAAATCTGGGTTTTGTAATCAATGATGATGTATTGATGAAAAATTAACTATGTAACTTCGCCAACTGCTTGTCGCTTTGGTGATGATAGATTTCTGGGTATATTACTCAGAATGACTTGAATTTATAAATTAATAGTTTACTATCTAAAAACACACATCTGAAATCTGTGGGAGAAAATAAAACTCCTCTTGTTTCAATGGGTATGTTTTGATATTGTCAGAACATTTGAAAGCCTTTTACAATTATTTTCAAGTAGCACTCATTAACCTTAAAAATCTCTATAAATCAGGTAAAGACAAGTGACAGACTATATTTGAGGAAGAAAACAATGCAAATACAACACAAATTTATAGCTGGAATTGTAGATACTTCAGATATGCTTTGCTTATTTTGATGACAGTACTCAGACGAGTTTGAGATGTTCGCAGTATTGCCCAAAATGTTAATTACTGTAAAACTTGCCAGTGAAGTGCACAAAATATTACTTTAAATGTGTATTCGAAAAAGATGATATATGTCTCATGATTAATCTGATCTTCTATGGTCATTATTTTTGATTAAAATGTCTATGTATCTCCCACATCTACTTGAATTCAATGACTTTAACAATATTCTACATTACAATTCAGCTGACAGCTCCATTTATCAAACCCGAGTAGCATAATACCACACACAGACACAAACACACACACTCACACAGACACACGCACAAACACACACACACACATGAACACACCAAATGTTAGAGTGCGTTGTGTAACATGTCTCTAATGAATTCCTATTCTGGATCCGAGTATTACAATATGCGAGGGATGTTTATGGACTCTGACCGGAGACATTTATGGAACTAAATGCAGAGCTACGGTCGCCTGAAATGCAGCAGTCATTTTTATTACGAGCTAAATGGATTCTCGGATATTTATAAACAGGGCTGCCCGTGTCATAAGTCAAAAATGCCTTCCTCTTTCTCTGGCCTTGTTGTTTTCCGAGGCCCATAAATCTCCAAGAGGGGGCTGAAGGAATTGCTCTATCCCGTCTCCAGTCTGGCCAAAGGGGCTTATTTGTGTCTTCAGTGGTAGGACAGAGGTCATTCATGTCACTACCTATAAATACACCAAAAAGCCAGCAGTGGTGGATTGGGCAGGACACTCGGAGGGCTGTTTTGTTTTCTGTGCCAATCTGGGAGCTTCGGAATTGCATTTGGCCTTAGATTACGATTGTGCTGTGCCAGAAATCTGAAGATCCACAAATCGCATTTTAATCCATTTAAAGAATTTTAATCAATTCTTAATCTTGATTATCTACTCGGGGTTTATGCATCCAAAAAGTGCTATATAATTATGATGTATTGTTATTACTATAACTTTTTCATCTAAATTAAGAAATTTGGAGAATCATAACTACTACTAAGAAAATTCTTAGCCAAGGTGTCTATTGAAAATTATTTTCCATATAATACATTTATTCAAAGGTTTCATTTCTTGGGGAAATGACCAACGTAGAGTATATCTATCTTTATTTGGGAATCAACTTAGTTCTTTTGATATCATTTTGAGTTTTACATTTTCATTTGCATTGAAGTTTAACAGTGAATTCATTTTATGCATAAAAACTATGACAAAACCTACCATGATAAACCTACTAAAGGTAGTGTATCCCACTTTATGCAACTAGAATGTAAAGCCCACAAGTACAGGCAATAAAAGTGGATCAGAAAAAATATGTATCCATTATAGATGCTAAACTGTGATTATTGTGACACACTACATTGCATCCATAGCCAGGATTCTTCTGCGGTTGTATAATGGCCGGAACGGGGCTCAGGGGACCACTATAAACACAGAGGAGTTGGCAGACATGTTGACAGTGCCCAGGGGTAGTTCCCTTACATAAGTGTGTTTAGAGGAAAGTCCTTTTAAAGCTAACATTGACATTCAGGCCAAAAAAAGGAGGCTTCCAAATAAAGAGGTAGACATACAGGACAGGAGAGCTCTCTCTGTTGGCTCTTGTGGCTGTGAATGCTGCCGATCTCAGTCTGCGAGCTGGAATGCGACATCCCCTCGAAAAATGGCCTGAAAGAAAACATAATTTGTAATACATTTCTTATTTTTTATTGTTACAAAACATATAAAAAGACAGTTCTTAACAATATCTTTTAAAAACACAATAAGTGACATTGATAGCCAACAAAACAATCTGAATCTCTCATTGTATGGCTTTAACTACTAATTACATTATTCAAATACAGGTTTCTGTTTCAGGTAGGGAACCAAAAAAATACTGGTATTTCCAATATCAGAAATGTTGTTGGATTGGGCCTTTACAAAAGAAGTGATGAGCTCATATTCAAGGCTACAGAATGGATGATTAAATACACAATTGTTCACATGATGTAATAAGTCAGCTGTGATTTCAAGGGGGAAAAAAAGGCTATTTTGCTTGATAATGGTTCATATTGGGTATCACCATATATCAAAAGCCCAAGTATCAGAATTGGCATTGGAATCAGAAATAAAAAAGCTGCAATAGTGCAACTCTAGTTTCCTATACAGTTTCTCAGTCGAGTCAGCACAATAGATTAATTCCTGTACCAGCTTTGCTTCTGCACATGAATAAAACATGCACAATTGATGTGTTTTCTTTAATAAAACGGCTACATAATTCATTTTGTGAGCCATGGATGTAATTTCCTCCAGATTTGAACGGTACATACTTGAGTTTGGGTTTGGGCGTGCTCAGGACACTCTCGTTGTCCTCCATCTCTGGGCCGCTGTCGCTCTGGTTATAAACCTCCAGGCTGTCGTAGAGTAAGTCCAAGTCCTCCTCCACCTCCTGAGTCTGATCCACAGGGTCTGAGTCCAGCACCTGCGACAGGAACAACAATACATCAATAACTATCAACAACATAAGCTTGGGAAGGGGAAACGGAGCAGTATGCTACGATGATAAAAGAAAGTGGTATGTATCCAAACTATGACCCGTTGGATTAGAACTCATCTCAACAACTTGAATATACAAATGGAATATACCTCAAAACTTGTAATGTGGTGAGAAAAAACTTAACCTAAATGTCACAGTCAAATGAGGAAACATGTGGAAAGAATCAGGTGGTCCACAATTCAATAAAAAAAATTACAGAAGATAATCCTTATTTAAACATTTATGACAAAGAGGCTGAAAAGAAGACACTTTTCTTTGGAGAGAAAACCGATAGTTAAACTTTGTAAAGGAGTATGAATTGGATTTCATGAAGTAATATACACGGTAAAGGAGCCTTGTGTGGACATCGCATTAAAAAGTAAAAAGCATCTTGAATTATAGCTACTTGTAAATACATGCTTGCTGATGGATTGACTGAGTGTATTGGCAGATCCTTTTCTAATTCATGAGGTCAATGTTATAAATATCCCAGCGCATGGTCCTAAGCAGGTCAATTAAAAGGTGAGTGAGTGCTGGGTGATTGCTGAGGGCTTTTGGGGCACTCTACGGGGAGGTATATCACAGCAGCAGCCGCAACAGCAGCAACAGCAGCAGCAGCAGCAGCAGCAGCAGCAGGGACTAATCAGGTGATTAATGCCACTCTATAAGAGCAGAGGCTGGCAGGAGGCCGATAAACAGTCTGTCCCTCTCCCTGCCCATGTATTAATAGAGCCGCCGCCCGCCACAGGGAAGGGATTAGTGGCAGAACGTGATAAAAGATCACCACCTGAAGCTTCCAGAAATCTCCTCCCCCACTGAACCAGGGCCTTTTACACAACAGACAGGTTAAGTCTCACACACTGCTCTACTGCACTGACTGAAGCCGATAAAGAGTGAGTCACTACCGATTACATTTACTACTACACACACTAAAGTCAACATCTTAGCACCGGTTCATCCTTCTTAAACGGATTTTTAGCATATGTGATATTCGGCAACAAGGTATCAACCAAAAGTCACATTTATGATAACGCTCTATGCTGGTATGTAGTAGTGGGGGATGGGTGTTGGGTCAGAGAATGTTTTGGCCTGTGTGTGTGTGTCTGTGCGTGTGGTTTTCATTTTCCACAATTGTTGTTTTGGACGATTTTGTTCTAAATCGTGTTGTATGTGTTGAGTGGGTTGAAAGTGTAGCATCTGCTTCATCCAACCCCTTTCCCAAACATGTATGTACAAAGCTTTATTATCAGAAGTTAATCAAAAGTATTGCATTGAGTATTTTGATAAACATTTTTGGGTCTATAAAATAGTAGCCAAAAAAAATGACATTATTTCATACAACTTGCACATTTCAGTTCTTAATGTTTTCTTTTGCTTTATCCGGGTTGCAGAGGCAGCAGTCTGAGCAGATATACCCAGACTTCCTTGTCTGTCCACACTTCCTTCACTAAAACTATTTACGGAAGAGCAATTCTGCTGGATTTATTTGCTTGCTACAGATGTCAAATGAATCATAAACAAAGCTAAATAAATGTCCTCATTCTATTAATAAAATACACATTATCTATATCCTGTCCACCCATGGGAGTGGATCCCTCTCTCACTGTGGGTATCTGAGGTTTCCCCATTTCTCACACTGGGATTTTGAAATTTCTTGTTGTTATAGTAGGGTATACGGACAGGGGATGATCCGGAACATTTATCAACTTTTATGGACATTGGTTAACCCAATGTCCATAAACGACTGTAAAGGTATTCTTTAAATGTTCAATTGCTGTGCAAAGTTGATTTTATAAATCAACTTTGCAATATTGTGACGCCCATTGAGACGACTGCTACTGGGATATTGGGCTGTACAAAAAGAAATAGATTTTCATAGCTCAAATCTATTTTTTTTGATTACTTCTCATTTGCAGATTTTTGAGCTGAAATGATCCATCACTTTACAGATGACCATTCTAAACCACTGAACATTTGTGATTGTGATCTATGGATTGAGAAACCACACTGTCTCAGGAAGTGAATAGCTTTTCTTTTTTTTTACTTATAGTCTGCAGTGTGCCGGGATGATTATCATTATTGTAAAGGCTAATGGACATTCATGGTCTACGCATACAAAATGGTGCCGACCTGATTAAACTCTATTATGTGCAATCGTCAGGAACATTCATCCAGCTCTTCAGCCGGGAACAACACAGGGCGAAATAGGCCAAGTACAAGCCCCTGTTCATATATTATATTAAATGAAACACAAGAAGGGCTCTAATGCATTCAGCAATAAATGACTCCCACTGACAGGCAACCTGGGTAGACTTTACATAATACTGTTATATCTTTTGTCAGTGCATTTTGGATGAAATTAACCATGATATACATACATTTCTGTTTTTTAAAGAACGGGGAGCTTAAAAAAGAGCAGGGACTGAACTAGACTCACTCTCACCACTGTCAGTTCATTATTTAAACTGAAATGGCAAATAAATGACAATTAGATCCATGGCATTGCTTTTATGAACTTACTAACAGCCCTCTGCCATTTAAAGTGAATGTCAGTTACTTTTCAAATTGTGAAGAGAGAGAGACACTTTTGGAAGAGAAGCTCTGGTTAGACCTGCTTACTGTACACACAGTACCCCAGGGTCAGAAATATACATTGTTTAAAAATTAAATGCAATTTAATTTATTTACAATCATAAATTAAACCCATCCAGGGATTGGGAAGAAAATATCTCAATAACAACTTAAAATTGATTATGAATAGGACCAATTTTCACTACAAAATCAGCTTGGCATTTGGTAGAGACTAGAATGCACTTGGAAAACATTTTAGGTCAGTTACTTTTCAAATTGTGAGGAGAGAGAGAAAGAAAAATTTCAAGCATCAGTGAAACCTGCCCATATTCACCTTCACAGTCTATACATCAATTCAAATCCTTGCCATCGGTCGATCTATTCTACTCCAGCAAATATTACTGGTGGCTTTTCTAAGAGCGGGGACTGTTTTTGAAATATATAACTTTTGAAAAAGACTTAACTTACATGCTAGCACGGGGTCATATGGTAAATAATCTTCATACAATCAGGGCTTTCGAACTACTCACCTCATCTGTTACTTTGAATCTCTTCAACAAGGCCACAAACTTCTGCTTAAAGTTGGGTTGCTGCAAATAAAGAAAAATCATCAATGCACAGGTGGAGGCAAAAGCGGTGGAGGTGAAATTGGCACTACTGCTTGGCTTTTGTTTTATGGGGTCTCTCAGTCTTTAGATTACTCATTCACACAGGCCGTCATTTGACTCAGTCTAGTGAACACCGCTTTCATTTACATGCTCGTCCAAGTCTTACTAATGGTTTAGGCAAAGGGAACACAGTGTGCTCAGGCTCCTAAAAGCTTGTCCAATAACAAATACCGGTCTTAAGAGGTTATGAGGAGGTAAATGATTGTCAGACAGTTTGCAGAGAAAGAGGAGAGAAGCATACCCTGGTCATAGACGTGGTTCGAATCATTTTCCGTCTTGCCTTCTTCGGCTTCCTCATTTCATCATCCTCGTCGTAAAGATCCTGCAGCAATTTTGGTCATAAGAAAATAATTGTGTATTTCCCCTTTGCAAAGAACTACATAGTACAAGCAAATGTGTTGTATTTAGTTCCTGACCAGTTTCTTTAATACCTCTTCCAGAGGGTAAGGTTTGTTAATAACACAAAAGTGTATGAATGGATGTTTACAATGTTTTCATTTTGGATCCAGGATTTTATATTTTTGAATGAAGCTGTTTTGCCATCAATAGGTTGTAACTTTTATCAACATTGCTTACTTGGAGTTGTCAAAAGCACAAATCCATAATTCTAAAGAGGCTATCATCAACATCTGGAAAACTAATATGTTTTCAAATATTCTTCTACTTTTCTTTTTTGTTTTGTACATCACTTTTGTTGATAACCTATACTGTGTGTTTGTGTGTTACTGTGTGGAAAGAATAATACAACATTTAAACAACATTACATTACAACAAAGGGCCTATTGGTGTAGTCAAGGTTTTTCTACTTTTTTTTTTTCTCTTCATTTTTAGTATCCATCGTTTCGCCTGTCAGTGTAGATTTCCAGGCTCACATTCATCACTCTGCTCCGGTACATCTCTAGCCACAGTAGTAGCTTACCACCAACGCGTATGAGTGTCCAAAAGGTTCTTTATAAAATTGATATTATCAGTTTCATAATCTCATCTATTGTGTCTCTTCTTCCCATTCTAGTTCGAGCTGATACAATTGTAAAATAAATTGTAAATGTGTTTATATATAATATTGACACACAGGGAAAAAGTTAATATTTCTTCTGTATGTAAACACTAAATACTATATGTACAGTAGGCGATAATGCGATGAATGAATGTATGAATGTAAATATTTATGCTCAATCTAATGAATAAAATGAAATAAACCAGCCATCTAATTATGGCAACAAAAATATTCAAAATAATGGATGTAAACAAGTACAGTAAACCATTCCAAGCTTATCCACTATACATATTTTGGCTTGTACAGTAAGTCTCGTGTGTATTTGGAGTCTGACCTGTCCGTGCACTGCGTCGTCGCTGGCTTCCTGCTCAGACGAGTAGCTGTCATCGTCCTCCTCAGAATAGTTGTCCATGTCCGGGGAGCGGTCTGCCGGGAGCCCCACAAACACACACGTCAAAATCATTACGGGATTACTGTGTTCTGAAGAGATTCTAGTGTTTAAAGACTTATCAAGTGTCAATGGATCTTGTTTTGACTAATACAAAAGATTCATATTACGATTGTGCACATGTCTTGGGGATATTTCTTGTGAAAATACATTGTAATTGAAACCGGAAAACTGGCTACCCCACTAAAAACAAGCTATGGTCTGGACTGTGTCAAACTGAAGCAGACGGTTCCAGAAGTTTCCCACTACCACATTCTATTTACAATTTTACTATGGCCTTAAAATGAGCAGATTCAAGGTCGATGTTTTATTAGAATGACTGTTTTCAATCCAGTGTAAAGGACTGTAGAGAGAAGTCCACTGCGCCAAGTCGAAAAACGGGACAAGAGATGTTTAGGATAGGTTCACAGAAAAGCAAAGAATAGTTCTGTCATTTTCACCTAATAAATTAATGAAATAATAACATCAATTATCATGTTTAAAATGACTTATTACCTCACATGGCCTCACCAGGCTTTTGCAGGGTCAAATTTAGAAGCCTTTTCTTTCACTCCCTTCACATAAAAAAATCCGATTGGGCTTACTCAGACTTTTGTCATCATGTATTTCCAGCTATTGTCTAATTAACATTTCTCAATTTTGGCGGCAAAACGAGTATTTAATGTATAGGCTGAATACTATTGTTTACTACAATTCTTAAAGCTGGGGCATCTAACATTTTTTCAATAATAATACATTTTGTCTCAACAGAAAGAGTCAGTAAAAAGTAATCTTATGCGCTCTGTCAGTCTCTATCTGATACTTTGGACTGAGAGCTGATCGGGGATGGTGCTCTCTTTTTCAATTTCTGTCAGAAAAGCGTAACTTGGCATGTGAGAGAGGCCAAAAATACATACAGAAAACTAGTCATGCAAGCAAGGAACAACAATGGGTCGATAGATTTGATTACATACTGTAGTTCCGTTATTGTGGTTTGATAGTTAGGTACCCCAGCTTTAAAATACATTATAACCACACAGCTTTAGTTGGAAAATCTTCCCTCCACTATATCTTTCCCATCCAGATATTCTTCCACGCCGTACAAGCGTTCAGGTGTGCTATCCCTTTACCTCTACTGCCTTTCTACCTCTGAAACATTGGGTCTTCATTTACAACTCATGGATATTATTAAGTAAGATAAACATTGCTTCTCTCTTCTGGGGAGTGACACTGCTCTAATACTTGCCCCATGAGCTCATCTGTTATGTTGGCCTCCATAATAACATCCAGGACATGACGGGACCGCAACAGCCATGTAGCCCCCTCCTCTCCCAGAATTAGAAAGCGTAAGGTGATAGTCCCCCACATCTGTTCGTCTCTCAAATCCACATAGCTGCCATGGTTGAAGAGAATAACATATCCTTGGCCTCGAACTTGGCCCGAGACTAATACAGCTGAGCATGTCCTCTTCGCTGGGGAAATAAAAGCCATGTGGCGAGGGGGAGAGAGGGCGGAGGCCAGAATTATACCCACGATTTTGGGGTGTGGGTGCGGGCCGGTCCCACTGAGCCAAATAGAGGTTATAAGACACGGACAATTTTGGCTGGTAAACGGATTCTACACACCCCTGACCCTTCAATGTCAAATTTGTAATGTAAATTTGATCTAGTGTACCCTTGTGGTGAAGTCCTGCTGACGTTGTCTGGCCCAGACTTCTAAATGAGCTCCAACCCACAGCAGAATAGCATCTTTAATCAGAGAAATGCGACGTTTGCTCTGAAATATTCAAGTATTTTTTATTGATTTGAGTTTAATAATGGCTGTAAAAGGCTGCTTTGTCAGGGAGAGGCAGGAGAAGAGATAAGGTCTTAATTTTGGGGCTCACTAGTGCCTTTACCACCTTTATATTCTGGCACTTTTTAATGTGACTTTTACCTTCTGTTCCTATCTATCTAATGTATCTATCAATCTATCGGTATATCTATCTATCTGCTTATCTAATCAATGGTTTGTCTTTTCCTACTTAGGATAGGGTTAGTATTATAAAATAAAAATGATAGAAAATACTAATAATTTTGGGTCATACAAAAGGCAGCTGCCAGCACTTTATGTGCCATAAAGTGCTAAACAACGACCAGGAAGAGCAGCATGATAATTATAACTCACTATGAATAAAGTGCATAAGTCAGAGTGACTAATATGGATGTGAACAAAACGAGTAATTTGTAAAACAGAGAGAATCAGCACTTTAAAGTATTTTAACAACTACATAAAACGTTTGAACTTTATTGCATTCCAGTGTTTATATTTTCCTGGACACTCACCTGAGATCTTGGTCTTGCGTCCCGCCTGCCCGCTGCTGTCCTCGTGATCGATTGGCTGAGAGGACAGAGAGAAGACGCTGATCTCGGCCACTCGCACTGGAGCCTCCTTCACGTTACTGTGCAAACCCAGGATCTGGCCTCCGTCTGTGGGGTGCTGCATCACCTGCAAACAGACACAGAGCCACGGTTAGCACGGTCACACTTGAGGCAATAAATATCACTGTATACTAATATATCTTGCACAAAAGAGACTATATTTGAACCTTTTTAACATGTTTGCACTCTTCCTGTCTTTTTGCACACCCCAAGTAATTATATCTATGCCAAATGTGAAATGTAAATTTCTCCATTGTGAGATCGAGTTTATCTTATCTTACATAAAACTTACTGACAATGTTTGAAACCAGATTAAAAACAGTTCTGTTTAGCTGTGCATACAACTGAGGGATTTTATATTTTTATCTTTCTTTTTGATGTTCTGGGATTTTTTGATATATGATTTTAATGCCATCTTATTTTGTTCAGCACTTTGAGTTGCCTTGTGTATGAATTGTGCTTTACAAATAAACTTGCCTTGCCTTACATATTGGTAAGCAGTAATTTTTGTGCAATTAGAACAGAAATATCACTTTCTTCTTTGATATTTTACAGGCGCTTTGTATTGTAATGTGTGAAATTAATATTTGAATATTTCTCCAAAAACTATTTTAGTGAGATAAATTTGCAGTTCATGTATTCCCCCACACCATCCATACTCCAATTCATGAGTCATACTTTATTGATATGTACCATATTTTACTTTTTTTAAAGGGAGAAACTTTTCACTTTTTTGTGTGTGGGTCAAAACATAGTGTTCACCAGATTTCATCACAATTAAACCAATTTCTAAGAAGCGTCAAAGGTTATTCAGTTTCTCTGCTAATTCAGACATCCTCCACAGGCTCGTGTTGCTGAACTGAATAGAGGAACAAACATTACTTTAGCGCCGGGCAAAAAGGACGTGTTTTATCTCGATCTCATTCCTGAAGCGACACTGATCCGGGCGAGATTGAGAGGGTTCAGTCACACACACCGTTCTGCTTGAGTAAACACAGCCCCTGATTACAATCTGTGGCTTTGCGGTTTCTAAATAAATCTCTATGGCACATCACGACGTTCATTTTGTCCCCATTTTGAATGTTTAAATGAGCCAAGCCAATTTACTCACACCATTTAGGGAAGAAAATTATTTTGCACAAACCATTGGGATTCAGGGGATATGTCTACAATTGGAACATTATCGAGAGGCTGCTTTCAGTAAGGCACATGATGAATTGCTTTACAGGGACAAAGCCATTTATATCCATAATATTAGCGTAAAATACCTGCATACTTAATTAAATACTCCGTTTTGTGATGTGAAGGAGGAGAACCTGGAGAATGTTACAGACATCACCTGCCACAGAATTAGAAATGACCTTTCCCTCAAATTATTATGATTTTGAATGGTTATAGTCTAAGTTGCTGGATTTGCTGTGGTTTGGACCAAGTTCAGACCAGTACAATATCAACTTTCTGTTATTTTAGAATTAGGTCACAACTTTCTGTTCCCATAAAGTAAGAATTGATGGATTCCATATTTATTCCAGTATGGAAAGAATAATGAAATGTTGTCCGATTTAGTTTTATTCATAAACTTTAGTGTTGATGTCAAGCTCCCAAACAGTGCATGCATGAAGAAATTACAATATTGCATTAGTATTATAATGAGCTGCCTGTCAACATTCCCCAGAGGCTATTGTTGCGAACGAGCGGTGCCTGAATTTGGACAGGGCTTTAGCTGTAATTAGGCCGACAGAGAGAGACCTGTGGAGTGGAGCTTCTCACACAGCCACCTCCATGACAGATTGTACAATTTGAGAGTGGGAGAAAGTCCAAAATGTGAAAAGCAAATGAGAAACTAAAGTGTTATCCAGAAAATATAACAAGAGAAGGCCAAGGGAATGTCAGGATGTATCCACTGCTTCCTCATGTGTCTACATTAGGGTTGTCAAAACTGAAATCAGATATTGTAGTTCACGCTGGTCTGGTTCACTTTAACTGGACTAAGTCTGGAAAATGTGTTGTAGTTCTGGCGCGACACACTTACTGGGCACATCACTTGTTTGATGGTTTTATGTCCACAAACAAAGCATTTTTTGCAGACTAGATACTCATTTAGACAATTACATAATCAGGATTCAAATGGACGTCTCATGAGCATTTTGAACCATATCAGATCGAGAATAGAATCTATTATTTTGTACCAATATTTCAAGAAAAACAAAACCTTAAACATTGCTTCTTGAAGGAACTCAAAACGTCTCAATGCTGGAGACATATCCCAGATGAAATTAATGGGTGAAGACACTTTAATGTCAGAAACATACTTTTAAAGTAGTATAGAAAATGGTGGTAGTATTAAAATTAAAAAATAAACACTATTGTACATTATAATTGTTCCCATTTTCATTATTGCGGCATCAAAGGCTCATACAAAATTATTTACATTTAAAGCTGCCATGATTTGAAACCAGGCCTTACCTGTGGTCTTCTGTCAGACCTAAGTACAATACAATACAATACAATTTATTCTTGTATAGCCCTAGGTCACAACAGAAGTCATCTCAGAGGACTTAACAAAACCATTGAAATCACCAACACAGGTCAGAGAATCAACAGTTAAAACACATGAAGAATATAAAGCACACACAGAAGAAAATGTCCATACATGTTGTAGAATGCTAAAGTGTCCTGATCATCACCAATCCTTTCTGTTGGACACTAACTGTCCAACAAGACCCTCCTGCATCGACAAGGAAAAACTCTTAAAAAACCCAGTGGGAAAACGTGAGAAACCTTGGGGAGCACTAGGGAAACCCACAGGGAGGGAGACCCATTTGAGAAAGGGATCCGCTCCTCCGGACGGACAGGCTAATGATCTAGGACCTAAGCTAGCTACAGAACGTGGACCAGTGGCCGCTGAACGTGGACAGGTCCGGTGCAGGACCGAAGCACTCCCAGGCGGGTCGGGCGGAGCAGTCCGCAGGTGTAGATGGAAGAGGCCAGGCTCAGAGATCCCGTCATCGTACCATGAAACAGACAATGGGACAACGGGTGAATAGCAATGAACAAACTACAGTCAGAATCCTAAAAATGCTAAACAGATAAAGTAGGAAGGAGGAGAGGATAGTGCTCAAGTTACCATACTTCTCCCAGCAAACTGACTCCCTATGCAGCTTGACTGACACTCTGAGGAGTTTAACCTTCTCCGAGTCTTACCTTCCTAGCCATATGCTAAACTAAAGAGGACTGTTTTAAACCTAGCCTTGAATAAAGAATAACATACAGCATAATATATAACATAATATACAACATAACACAATACATTATTGAATAATATATAACATAATACAGCATATATATATATATAATATATACACTACATATTATATATTACCTAATTATATGCTAAATTAAAGTAAAGTGCTTTAAGCCTGGCCTTGAATGTGGAGACCGTATCTGCTTCCTTAACATAAATGGGAAGCTGATTCCACAGTAAAGGAGCTTGGTAGCTAAATGCTCTGCCACCAACAGTGACCTTTGAGACCTTAGGGACCACCAGACGTCTGGCGTTTTGTGAGCGCAACTCTCGACCTGGTTGATATGACACTAATGTGTCTTGGAGATAAGAGGGAGCCAAGCCATTTATGGCTTTATATGTTAAGAGTAGGATTTTAAACTTTATTCTGTACTCCACAGGGAGCCAGTGGAGTGATTTTAACACCGGAGTTATGTGCTCCCTCCTTTTGGTACCTGTTAAGATCCTAGCTGCTGTATTCTGAACGAGCTGGAAGCTCTTCAAAGAGGCTTTAGGGCACGCTGCAAGTAAAGCGTTACAGTAGTCGAGCCTTGAGGTGACAAACGCGTGAATGAGTTTTTCCGCGTCACTTTTAGGAAGGAAATTCCTAATTTTAGCGATGTTCCGTAAGTGGAAGTACGCCGTTTTAGTTGCTTTGCTTATATAAGCCTTGAAGGAGAGTTCTTGGTCAAAAATGACTCCAAGATTCCTCACAGTGTCACTGGGTACAATACTGACACCATCGAGAGTAATTATCTGGTTAGCGAGGGAGTCACGCAGGCGCTTCGGACCGAGTAGGATCACTTCTGTCTTCTCCGGGTTGAGAAGTAGGAAGTTAAGAGTCATCCACATTTTAAGGTCCTTTATGCAGGCACTGAGCTTTTCTAGCTGATCTGTCTGGTTAGGCTTCATCGACAGATAAAGCTGTGTGTCATCTGCGTAGCAGTGGAAATTAATTCCATGCTTTTTAATAATGTTTCCCAGTGGCAGCATGTAGAGAGTAAAAAGAATCGGTCCGAGTACCGAACCCTGCGGCACACCGAATTCCACTCCAGAATAAGGCGACGAGTCCTGATTCACATTGACGAAGTGATATCGATCTGATAAATAGGATTTAAACCAGCCAAGGGCTGTTCCTCTAAGACCTATATCACATTCTAGCCTCTGCAGTAGAATGCTGTGGTCTATTGTGTCAAATGCAGCACTAAGGTCCAGTAGGACCAGCACTGACACTTGTCCATTATCGGCAGCTAGTAGTAAGTCATTTGTGACTTTGACTAGTGCCGTTTCAGTGCTATGATGAGCTCTGAATCCTGATTGAAAGACTTCAAACATATTATTTTCCTGCAGGTGGCAGCGGAGCTGCTCAGCTATAAGTTTTTCCAGGATTTTAGATATAAAAGTGAGGTTTGAGATCGGTCTGTAGTTTGTAAGTATTTCTGGGTCCAGGTTTGTTTTCTTCAGAAGGGGTTTGATTACCGCGGTTTTAAAAGCTTGTGGGACATAGCCACATTGTATGGATGCGTTTATTATATTTACGATAGGCTCAATTATCAAAGGAAGTATGTCTTTGAAGAGCCATGTCGGGACTGCGTCTAACATGCAAGTTGAGGCTTTTGAGGATGTGGCCACAGAGATCACCTCTGCTTGGCTCACAGGAATGAATTTATCAAGGCCCACTGAAGAGTCTAAGTGGGAAGTTACGTATGCCGCTTCAACCTGTCCACCACTAACAGCAGGAGCAACCTCCTCCAGCTTGTCACGGATGGATGTAATTTTATTATTAAAGAAGTGGAGAAAGTCGACACTGCTCAGTGAGCTTGGAATTTTAGGCTCGATTGCGCTATGGCAGTTTGTGAGTTTAGCGACGGTGCCAAACAAAAATCTACTGTTGTTTTTATTCGCTTCTATTAAAGTTGAATAGTATTGAGTTCGAGCCCCGCGAAGGGCATTCTTGTAGTTTCGGAGACCTGCTTTCCACTCCCTGTGGACAGGCTCCGAGTGGGAGTGGCGATATAGCCTCTCCAATTTTCTGACGTCCTGTTTTAAAGTGTGGAGTTGAACACTGTACCAGGGCGACGATGATCTAATCCTAATGGTTTTCTGTTTTAAAGGAGCTGCTGCATTTAATGCAGATTTTAAAGACTCCATAGTGTTGCCCACCGTTTGGTCAATGACTGAGGGACTGCAGCTGCTGTGAACGGTTCACCTGCAGCAGTATTCAACATAGGCTGTATTAGTTCTTTGAACCTTGTGATAGATTTATCATTTAAGGTTCTTTTCATTATGGTTTTATCTTGCGGGACAGGAAAGTCCTCCAAAGCGAGATCAAACGTGATCAAGAAATGGTCAGACAGCAACGAGCTTTGACGCTGGATGTCAACATTGGAGACATCACAGCCGTAGGTCAGGACAAGGTCCAAGGTGTGGTTATGAATGTGAGTAGGTTCCTCGACATTCTGAGTAAAACCAACACCATCTAGTACGGCGCTGAAAGCTTTGTTTAAGCTGTCAGTGCTGTCGTCCACATGTATATTGAAGTCTCCAGCTATAACTATGTTTTCCCATTCCAAAACTAGGTTTGAAATGAAGTCAGAGAATTCTGTTAGGAACTCGCTGTAAGGACCAGGAGGTCGGTATAAAACTATAAATAGTACTGCTTTTTGTTTTCTCCACCCAGGACAGGTGATTGAAAGTGTTAAGTTTTCAAACGAGTGAAAAGCGTTGTTGGTTTTGGGACTAAGAACCAAGTTGGTGTGTGATATAATCGCAACACCACCGCCGCGACCTGTAGTTCTCGCTTTCTGGTAGTTAACATGCGTCGGAGGAGTGCACTCATTCAATCTAACGTACTCGTCCTGTTGGAGCCAAGTCTCCGAGAGCGCAAACAGATCCAAGCCCTTGTCTATAATAAGTTCGTTTATGAGAAGCGATTTAGACGAGATTGATCTGACGTTCATTAAACCACATTTAACAACCCTACCGCTAGAACTATTTCTGTCTGTCTGAACTTTTATTAAGTTACTGTGTCTGACACCTAGGTCAGATTTTCTCGCATATAGTGCTTTAGACTTCAAGCGGGGAACACACACAGTTTCAATCTGACTAGGTTCTGAGGCTAGTAACTGAGCACACACAGGCATACACATACATGCACACACAGTTTCAATCTGACTAGCTTCTGAGGCTAGTAACTGAACAGATGGGGGCTCAGAGGTTGTGGCAGAGCAGCTCTGCACCCGGACCTCAGTTCTGCATCGTCATTTGAGCCGAGCAGAACAGTTTAGAGCCAGGGCCAAATTCTTAGCCAAAAGGGATGTACCAGCCAACGTTGGGTGGATATCATCCGAGCGGATGAGACCGGGCTTTCCCCAAAAGGCACTCCAATTGTCAACATGAACAACACCACTTCGAGGGCACCAGCCAGACAGCCAGCGGTTGAAAGCCGAGTGTCTGCTGAATGCTTCTGCACTGCTAGTGCTAGGTAGGGGCCCAGAGAAGATGACAGTGTCGGCCATTGTGCTAGCCAGCTTGCACACGGCGGCGACTTGCAGCTTCAACACCTCGGACTGTTTCTGCCGAACGTCATTACCACCCGCGTGAATAACAATTCGACGGAAACGCTGCTTGTGGGTCATCATGAGCCTCAGATTCCCTTCAATATCACCAAGCCTGGCCCCAGGGAAGCACCGAACAGTGGCTCCTGGGATCTTAACACCTCTAACAATAGAGGAGCCAATTACCAGCGCATCAGCGACTCCATCGGCTCTCTCAGCAGCTCTCTCAGCGGCTCTCTCAGTGGGGCCTTCTTCCCCGCCCGGCCGCGCGGGGGCGCAGCCGGACAGAGCGTCCCAGCGATTGTAAATGCTAACAGGAGGAGGCCCAATGGGGAAACTACCAACAACACGTCGCCCTCTCCGAACAGTCACAAAGCCATCACTATCCTGGTCTTGTCCCAGCTGCGGAGGACGGGCTGGGAGGCTAGGCTCGCTAGTTCTCCTCTGCCTTTCCCTAAAGCTGCGCTCTGCTGTCCCTGAGGATACGGCCTGGCTGTAGCTAATGCTAGCGCTAGCTCGAGACTCCAGTGCTCGGAGACGCAGCTCTAACTCACTGACCCTGGATTCCAGAGCTACGACTACACTACACTTCACACATCTATCACTACCCTCAGAGAAGGATCCAGGGTTTAGACTCGCCATATGGCAACTCGAGCAGTAAAGGATTGAGGGAGGGTTAAGTTAAGTTAGCGTGATATAGAAACGTAATCTAAAGATAAATCTAAAGAAAGTATCAATACAGAAAATGAAGTCCACTGAACCCTACTTTAGACTATTATTTTGCCTGTTACAGTGCACACTCACACTACAGTCCAATATTCATCCGTTACGTGTAAATGAGCACAGTCGTTTGAGAAACTTGGAGCTCCAGATGGCTGACTCTCACACGGCACAAAGTGCGACCCACATGAATCATCTGAAGTGAGACGCTGCGGTCTCTTTCTCCCGCAACTCGCCCATTACAGCGCTGTCAGTCACTGTCAGAGAGCAGCTCGTTTCAGTCAGAGGCTGACGGCACAATAACACCTTTCTCAGGACAAATGAATGAGACGGCAAGTGATGTTATCAGAGAAGACAGAGAACTCATGAGCTCGGGAAACCTAATGTAGAATAACTATGTGAAGAAGTTTGTGTATTGAAAAAAAAAAAAGAATATAAATATGTACTAAATCTATTACAATATGAAAAAGTCTTGATTGCATATGTTTTAATGGTGGAGGAAACTGGAGCGGCCAGAGGAAACCAGAGCAGACACACAAAGAACATGCAAACACTGAGTTTGTATCCCTGTGCCAACTGGGACACAAATGAGAAGCTGACTTTGCCAGCGTTCCACCCAACGGTTAAAAAGTTTCAATGAGTCCAATCATGACTGTCTGGGATCTTTACAGGCAGTGCTTTTAGATGGTTCTCATTCATCAACCCGACCATTTCCTCATTGTTATGTTTTTGGTGTTAAATGACAAATAGATTCTGTACATCTCTAATATCGACAATACCAATCTGTTCCAAGTGGCCAAGCATTCACTTCAACTGAACCAAGTGTGAATGCAAAGTTTAATATTTCATCCTCATGAGACAAATTGTGAAAAGAAATGCATGGTAATACCACTGATACAGGCCCATACCTCGGCCATGTTGATGACTCCCACTGCCAAAGTCTTGTATCCCAAAATGGTCCGGTTCTTGTAGCGTTTCCGCCTCTGCAGCATTATCTGGAGTCGGTTGGAGTCTCTCTTCAGAAAGTGAGGATACTGTAAATGAAAACACATGGGGTATAAATAATAATAGACAAGGTTTTTATGATTTAAACACGGTGAAACAAGAAAAATAGAAGGAAAACTGCAATAGCTCACAAGGTTTACTATTTCTGTACCGTTTCCAAAAGGAGCAAAGGGAGAAGAAGTAACAACAGCAGGCAAAGAGGAGCATTGCCAGTTTTCCAGCTCTATGGTGCTTCATTAGAATATGGCAAAGGTGAATGAGCGTTTGAAAAAGGTTAAGAAAGAACAGGAAAAGAAAATGGGCTCAGGTCAATCTAACGGAACAGATGTGCTTTATGTTTTCAATTATACATAGAGGTGTGCAGTTAATACATTTTTAATTGTGCCTTTCAGTCATATCTAATTGGCAATGATGTGCGTAGGCCTTTTTAATAAAGACAAATTAATTGTCGTGAATGTGATTCAGCGATAGGAGGAAGATTCTTAATTATAGCTCCTCCGAGACGACTGCTGTTGTTATCTAGGGCTATACAATAATACATTTAATTGAGCTTTTATTTTTTCATTTAGGAATAGGAGATATTGCTAAACTTAAAAGGCCCTTGTTTGTATGAATACTTAATATACCTAATATAACCTAAACATATCTATATCTATATCTATTCTAGTCCAGACTTGCCCTTTTTACACAGCACTGAAGAAATGTATTTTTACAACTTACAACGCACGACTTTTGATGCATGTTTGACAGAGAGTGAGTCTGACTATGCTTTTATTTTGTTGACAGTGTAGACAATGAATATGTAAATGACAAACAAGCCTCCAGGGATTACCAAAGACTGTCAAGACAGAGAAATAGAGACTGCGTTTACAAAGACTACGGCGTACGCAAAAAAAAAAGACTATTCAGTAACCGAAAAATTTTCTTCGGTTTCTGGGTGCCCGGTGGAGAAGCCACTGAAGAAACTTTGCCTTATTACTCAAACTTTGTAATCATATTGGTAAATATTATTGCTACCATGCCAACAATACATGCAGGTGGTGGCAAATTGAATCACGCGGGCATTTGATTTATTCACCCACTAGCTGCACCACATTATATTTCCACAGTGCTCTTAAAATACACCATGATCACTGTTAAGTTTTGCTTTTGCTTTGTGTAACAAAACAAAACAAGTAAATGCGTCACAACACTGCTCAAAACGAGTGAGAAGGTGATGTTACGGTGTTACTCAATCAGATCTGGTTTATGTGGTTGCATGTGATGTCAACCGCAGTAGAAACCACGTGCACCTCCAAATGGACAGGTTTTTTGCACCAGACCGCATGGTTTCACAAGTGTTTTGTTCAATTGACTTAAAACAGATTAGGGAATCAATGTCAAAGAAAAACATTGTCATATCTATTACCACAGGAAACATCCAATTCAAACGGAAACGATTGGAAAGACATTTTCACATGGGGTCGACTCTTCTTCGCAGGGTGGAGGGGTGGGGCCTACTTAGGACTCAGTTTGCTGTGAGCAGAGCTAAACCTGTCTCCCACACAGACATCGGAGGAAAGTCACATGACCTAATGGAAATGACACAATATGCTGAAGATAATTCATTACATATTTTTAGAAAGTCTTTTAAGTTTCACTTGTAGTGCAGAGAAAAGTGAATGAAAACAAGTGCTTCTGCTGAACTACAGCAAACGCTGTTAAAGCTGCACTAACTGACTTTGGGATTTTGAAGCCGCGGACCCGCTGGCCTCGCTCTTTCTGCTCCCCTCCCGGCACCCACGAAGCTATCGCCCCCCACACACACCCACTGTTGTTGACGGAGCTAGCGTCTCCCAATATGGATAATACATGGATATGGATTTGCACGTGGATGGCATGACCATAGAACGATAGAACCGGGAAGCGCGGAGGAACGGGACTTTCTTTTGGATGGCTGTCCCGCTGAGTAAGCAGTAACCGGTGACGAAGACACAGAAGTTTCAGGTTAGCCCCGCTGCTTGTTGTGCTAACTCAGCCGTCTATGCTAACGGTCTGTAGATTTCTCACGAAAGTGGGGGCTAGTGGTCCGCTGTGATTGGTCACAATTGAGACTCGAAACACATCTCTTCCTTGTTTCATCAAAACTCGAACTAAAATATAATGTCACGGCAGCACAAATCTGCGCTACTTTTTCTTCAAAAGGACGTATATCCCAATGCACTGCATGGACATGGATAGCATTTTTGTAATGAATACAAAAATAAAGTCAGTTAGTGCAGCTTTAAGTTGAGGAGGAAAGGATGGGTATGAGACAAACATTAGATTGTTTTCACTCCTGGACCACGAGGACCAAACTTTATTGCAGCAATCAAAAAGGCAACATTTCATGTGATTTGGATTCAGCTCTTAGTGGAGAGGTCCCAGAGGACACAGAAGACACAGAGGAGACAGAGATCACAGAGGTGAGGCTGTTTTCTGAATGGATGGCGTTTCTTTCAGATTATTTTCATGGACAGATGCGTTCACATGTGTGTGTTTATGTCATCGTCCATCACATATTTTGTTGCTTGAAGTTTAACTGAAACTCAAGTGTTAACTGTGGCCCTATCTTGCAAATAATTCTTGATTATTCAGTTTGAGAGGGTGATGCAGTTGCTATTTTGTACTTTTTATCCATTTTGAATCTTGCATCTATTGACCTTTTGGGCAAGTATGTAAAACTGACTGATCTGACTAAAGTACTATGCAGAAGGCAGTCATTTTCCACTTCATGTTTTGATTACCTGAAGGCAACGTGGCAGATGCTGAGGGGAACTGCTGTATTTTGCTCTTGTCGCTAAGTAAGAGAACTGTGAATCTTCTGTTATTTCATAACATCTTAATACAAATTTTTATGTCCAGATAAAATTCCTACTTGCTGCTTCAGTGTCTTTGTCTAGTACTTTTTAAGAATGGAGGAAAACTAAAATGGCTATTAATATTCATGTTACGGCCGTCTAACTTTAGCTAGTCGATTAAAATGTGTTTTCAATGAAATGATCATATATTCCATATCAACAATTGTGGGTATTTTGTATTACTCTTTTGGATATATCGTTGGGGAAAATCTTACACAACCTATTTGACCAAAGGCGAAGCTATTTCAATCATACGGTGCAGGATTCGCTAAACAAGTCACTCCAGCAGTACGTGAGTCAAGTGTTTTATAAGACAAATCCTTGAGTGGAGCGTGTTCTCTGTAGGGAAGCCGACAGCAGTGGTTTCGGTACAACATGAGTTTTTTTTTTACAGAGGAGCAGAGCAGAAGCTGGTGCATGAGTGAGACTTTTCACAGAGAAATGTGAGTGGTCGTGCCTGTAGTGAGAACGTCAGCTCCAGATCTGTCTCCATGAGGCCGCAGGGAGGGAGGATGTACTCGTTTGATCGCAAGAGACGCTTCGAGCCCTGGAAACACACAAAAAAAAAACAGGATTTAGCTACAAGCGTGAGGAGAACTGTAACCAAATTCAAAACCACCAGTACAATAGTGTTCCAGAATTGGGAAAAGGACAGTATGAAAGTTCCATGGTGTGATAATTATGACCAGAAAAAACACGGTCTGATTGCACAAAATGGACTGTGTAAAAAAAATAAAAAAATAAGAAAATAATCTTTTTTTGTTCTCTTCAACTATCCCAATAGCAAACCCATTAGCCCAAACAGGCCAATTTACTGACAATAAATCAGCAAGAATAGATCTGAAGCATATCAGATGAATTGTTTGTGGCATGACTGGCAGAAAAAACTCAACGCTGTTTACTTTCGGGTTTTCTTCCCACAAAGGGTGAAAAAAGGAGCTGTCAGAAGTTCATCACAGTATTGAAATGACCAATATTGATACTATGCCTTTTCATAGTTGCTGATATTATGCAACATCAGTGGAGGGCTTATTAAGGGCCAAAGAAGAGCTAACCTATTACAAACCATAATACTGACAGGTATTTTATCCTCAGTATATTATTCTTCAGCAACTTAAGATCCACATTGACTATAACGTCTGGGTATAGTTATTGTCCCATCAGTACAGAATGGACACTTTACACAACACAAAATACTGAATAACACTATTATTTATATCATAAGATGTTGTTAGCTGACATTTTAATAACACTGAAAATGAAGACACAAGAAATACAACAATGCAGTAATAGACAAAGGAGCTTGAAATTTGAAATATAAACTTCTACACTATTATTGTTTGTAATCTTGTAAGAATCTTTGTGACGGTGGTTTCAGTTTTGACTTTATTAAAATGTGCTAAAATCTGTTCTTTGTCAGCAGTGAAGTTGAGTGGATTTTCTCAGAATGGGATAGAAAAAGGTGTTTATCAATAATGCTTTAATCCTCTTTTGATTTACAATTCTAATTTTGCTCTTGTCACTTGCTTTACTTATTATTAAGGCATCCTTTTAGGCAAGATAAGATGCATGTTATAGTCAAAGTAGGGACATTGTTCTGTCAGGATCAGTGGTCACTACAGAGCAGGGCATATTCCAATGGTAAATGTTTTATATGAACAACCTTTGCACAAAATTACATAATTTACTGCATTTTACAGCTAGATCTTGTAACGCTAACCTCACTCAGGTCTATTTCTGTGGCTGGCATTGAGTCCATTTGACCAAGAAGCCAAAGGATTTAGGTGGCACCCACACAGTCCTTAAACGGCCTGAGCTTTTAGCAGGTTTGTCTCGGATTAAGTCGGTCATGTTTCTCCATTTGCCAAGTTGCCATTTCAGCGTAGCAAATTCTTTCGATATTAAATCAACCTTAAATTAGATAGTACAAGTACAGCTCATCAGGCCTAAGTTTCTAATAGGAATGTGTTTTGTAATAAATGCAATTAAGAGCTGTGGTTGCCAAAGATTCCTCTCCAGCCAGGTATCATGGGGGAAGTGGCAAGACGGTAAGGCTATCCCCTTCTGACATATTACGGTGGTGAGAAATGCCTTGATGGTTCGGTGGGTACGAAATTGTTGCTGCTAAATCTTGTCACAGAGCTCAAGTCAAAAACATGGCACTGTGATGATGCTAAGCCATAACACAACACTCTCTGAAAGTCATGGACCAAAACCAAAAAAGGAAGAAGAGAGGAGGCCTTTGTATCAACAACAGAATATGAAATAATGAAATCATTGAGTGACTTAGCCCTTTCTAAGGACAGGCAGACAATGCAAGGCGAGTGAAACATAACCGTGAAGGATCCAAGCTGACAGGGCACTGACAGAGATAAGAAAAAGAAAGCAATGAAAAATATAACCCTGGCATTTAATAAATATAAATTTGAGAACTTGAACTTGTTTGGTGCTGTATTATATAGAGCGTTTCTCAAACTGTGGCTTCTTTTGCTACCTGGATTCTTTGACAGTTCAATTGCTTGCCGAATGTAGAGTCCTTTAACCCAAATTTGAATTGATCCTGATTAAGACCTGGTTTAGACCTATATAGACAAGAAAAATCCTGTTTTACACCAGATTGAGTTTGTGGTATTCTGAAAGGAAGTTTCTCAAACTTGTTAGGTCATGTTTTCTCTATACACAAACCCATATACCTTTTAGTGATCAAACGGAACATCCACTGCCTTAAAGGATGTTGGTCACAGCACAATTCTCATTGAATGAAGATTTATTTAGGTTATATTTCATGCAGCTTTGGACATTTAGGATCATGCGAGCAGTATGCGTGGCTGGTTCTGCCATTTCCAAACTTTATTCAAATGGAGACCGACACAGTGTTATAAAGATGATAAATATTCTAGAAAAAGTGGCCAAAAGCTGAATAAAAGTGTTAAACTGGGTAATGGCAACGTCGGTGTAGAAGGAAAAGACATAGGGGACAGTTGCAAACATGCTGTCGTCTAATTCCAGGAAGATGTTTCAGTCGGATACTAAAATAGCAGATAAGCGTGCATACCTGGCATATCAAAAGACCACAGACACACCGTTGTCTGCTGATAAAAATAAAATGCTTTGACAAATAAGCTGGTGTCAAAGCAATGCTGCTTTACAGTCTCTGAACTAAAGGTGTGACAGGAGACGCTGTAGTCAATTATCAGCAAAGCCAGAGCGAACAAAAAAGTGATACAAACCCTGATTATGCGAGCAAATTAGTTTTATTTTTAGGACAAAAGAGGAGAGGGTTGAACTTCTATCCCTTTCTTTTGCAACATGACCTGCACTGTCCATCAAATAAGAGTTATGTTACGATGGGCGGTAAAATCTATGAGCAGCTCAATATTAATGTCCTAATTTTATGCGTCTATTGAAGTATATTTCAGACTGACTATAAAATCTGCCCAAAAGAAGACAGACATGATGCTATAAAGTCGATTTATCTACAATCAGAGGTTTTAATTTCCTCAATTAATTATGACCTTCTCAAATCATTCATATTTTTGACAAGGAAATAGTCACATGCTCTGCTACCTACATGTAAGCAATAAGGGTCATTGCGCCATAACATTCTCTGCTTATATTTCAGCATCCAAAAACCTTCATAAAACATTATACAGTATCTTCTCAAATACATTGCCCATGACATTGCAGGCCAGCTCTCGAAACAGGTTGTGATGAAAAAAACCGCATCTATAGGCAACAAATGAATGCGCTCCACAAGCAACAGCAGACTGGCGTAAAAACTGCGTTGGAAGAACCTTGATGTGGAGTACGATGCTTGTTTTGCCATTAAAAAAAGAGAAGCTCCATATGAGGCTATGTCCAAAGCAACACAAAGAGGTCTTCTATGCACTTTTTTCCCTTCATGCTCAGGGGCTGGTGTAATGAATCAAGGCACAAAGGCAGAGCACTCTCCAACTGCCTCACATGCACGAACAATACAGAGCAGGGGCTGCACTCAGTGTCCTCAGCCCCCCCCCTCGCCCTGTCCTCCGCACTGATACAAGCTGGTCTTTTCTGGGGCCGGATGGGACACTCTTTGAACTCTGCTACTGTGAGAAAGCACACATTTGTATTCATTCAAATGAATCTGATTGCATTGGGACCAAACTTGTGGATGAGTAAGTCTTCTGAGACAAATGTGAAAAATAGCTATGCTGTTTTATTATTACAGACCATGATTCTGTAATAAAAGTTTGATGAATACCTGCCATGTTTTGGTGGAGGACTTCCGCCTTCATCAGAGGTGATGCCAAAACATGTCTGGTAGCAACACTACCTTCATACACAACGGCCTTATTAGAAGAATCACTCAAGTCCATTCAGAAGGAATAAATAATGCACTATCTAAAACTAACTGATAAGAGCGATAGAAACTAATAAGGGTTTGCACAATTCCCATATTAGTCAAGGTTTTCTGGGAAATCCAAACTTTGTAAAAAAAAAAAAATAGCATGCCATCCTTTCATATAAGTTATACTACCTCAGTGATTTCAAACCTGTATCTTTCCATCTACTTTCAGGTACCTCTCTAAAGGTTTCTTAAATGTAACACATGATGCAGAATGATTCAATGTTGAGTAATTAGCCTCATATATAGTTTTAAATATACATGTTTTCTACATGTGTTCACTAATAGAGTTCTTCATGCTATTTTGTGAAAAAATACTATTATTACCTGCACGAAAGAGAGTAGTTTCTCTTTTGAAAAAGTATCTCTCTGATAAAAAAAGAGTTACTATTACTACTACTACTAACTAGTTAGACCTCACATCTACAGGTCCTATTTCTTGGCAAGTATTCAAAAACAATTTCAATCCGCATGTCAAATATAGATTCCCACTATATACCAAAAAGTAGTGAGTAGTAATAGAAAACACAAAAATGCAAGTTCCCTCGGTTAAAAATCAAATCAAAATAATATTGTGCAAAATTGCCATCTTCCTTGTGAAGTTTGTATTAGAACTATGGCCACCCCTCCTCTTCCCAGTGCAGACAGGAAGTGGCTTAAGGTCAGGACAAGTGAAATTGCATTAGAGAAGCTTTAGGCGTCGAAGGCTTCTGCTTGCCCCCAACACACAGCTCTACATAATTGGATCATAACTAAGTGTACGGCCACTCGCACTAAATGAGCCCGGCATGCCGCTCCTTCACAATCCATCTGACACAAATGTCTGGAAACTACCCCAGGCGACTCCGGGACGGAAAATAGAGGAATAAAAAATTCATAATCAGGTTGTGCGCGTGTAGCATTGGGACACTTTGGAAACGGTGCAGCAAACGAAGCAGATAATTACAACCCAGAAAGAAAAGGTGGGGTTCTGAAGTAGTAGGGTTTGGTTTGAAAGGTTCCTGAAAGAGAATTTTCATAGCGAAACATCAACATTTTTAAGACTTTCTAACTGATGACTGTTGCTGTGTACTAGGTTTTTCAGCCCACAACATTTCGAAGACCGTTTCCCATTCCAATCTAAATAACTAATAGCTCAGGAAAACATTAATATTTTCCAA